GCGCCCGTGCCCCACCCACTTCCCGCCCACGGTCCCACCCCCCCACTTTTAAAAGCGATGGGGGCATGACCTTCTGTCCCCTCCCTTCCCATCCCTGCTGGAATTCCCTTCTCAGCCCAACGCTGCACCCGTGGTCATTTGCAAACCGTTGTTATAGTCCCTTCTAGTTGTTGTTTAGCCCTGCCATATGTGAAACACTAGGCTCCATTCTCCTTGGAGATGGGGTGGGCTGGGGTCCCAAAACCCCGAGGGGACCTCATTTAGGTTGGCCCTAACCTTGTCAGTGGGATTGCTGCTGAAGAACGGAAGGCCCTCCCTTCTCCAGGGCTGAGGGCGCCCAGCCACGATCCAAAATAACTCCCCAATTTCTTGTGGCACGCCAGCGTCCCGACTGGCATCTGTCTGGCCCGAAAGCCGCCTTCCCCCTTCCAGGCCCAGGCGAGCGTGTCTTGCAGCAGTGAGTGTAAGGAAACCATAACTTGGCAGATACGGAGCTTGTTCGGGCTGAGCGTCCCTCTTCGAGACGGGGCCCTGCAGGAAACCGATGTGCCGCGGACGAGTGAAAATATTCCGGGCTGCTTTCTCACCTTGCGCTGTCACTGCTGAGGAAGTCAGTTGGTGTGCTTGGTGCACAGGGGCTTGTCTGTTTGGGCAGGGTGTGTGCCCAAGCCGTCCCTGATGCTCCTTCGCTCGTCTGCGTACGGCACGTGGCTCCTGTTTCTGCCCGCACCCTTTTCTCGAGAGTCTGATTGTAGGCAGGGGAGTGTCGCTGGCGGGTGCCAGTTCCCTGGAAACACTGCCCTTCCCTGCTCACAGCTGCCAGACCCGTGTGGTACACGGGAGGGCCTTCGTTCCGTGCTTGTGGAAACAGAATGGTGGCAGCGGGTCGCTAACCCATCCTTGTTCGCCCTAGATGACCTGTGTGGAGAAAGCGGGCAACGATGAGAAGATGCTCATGAAAATTTTCCGCTGCCTGGGGAGCTGGTTCAACCTGGGCGTGCTGGACAGTAACTTCATGGCCAACAGCAAGTTACTGTCGCTCCTCTTCGAGGTGCTGGTGAGTGTTCGCGTTGGGTTCCACGGGAGCGCCCGGCGCCGGGGAAGAACGGCGATTGCTTTTTCCCAGACGCAAAACGCAAGCCTTTGAAATTCAGCTGCCCCGTGCTGGTTCGTTTCCCCTCACCCCCCCGGCCCCGGTTGTAAATTTTGGCATGCTACGGTGACGCTCCTCGGGGGCCTTTGTGGAGAGGCGTTCCCTCCCCTTGCTGGGCCCTTCCTTCTGCCTTAAGCACGAGGCCCGTCCCATCTCCTCGTTCACTGGAAAGAACGCAACATGCTGCTGCTCCCCCTCCAAATCAAAGAACCCGAAGCCAGCCCTTGCCGACCTTCGGAGCCATCTGTGCTCCTAGCTCCACGCTGGCTCCTCCCCGCGGCCCGCTCCTTAGTGCTCCCTCCATTTCCAGCTGAAACTGCACATGGCAGCCAGAGCCCAGGAATCTCAATGAGCAAGAGCCCAGTTCTGGCCCAGTGGCCGGGAACCCCCCAGCTTCCCTTGCTCTTTGCTATCTAGCGGCGTTGGAAAATCGGGACAGGCCCAGCTGGCTAAAGCTTGGTAATAGCCAATGGTACAAGAATTCTTTACGTGTGTCCTCTGATTGCACGGGAGGTCCCGAATTCACCATGCCTGGAACGTGGGCAGATGTTCTTGCACAGCATGCTGAATCCGGCCAGGCCTCGGGCCTGGACAGGGAAGTGGAGGAGGGGCGATGTTTGCGTTCTCTGAATTTCCAGTCCTGTCTGGTTCCCTTTTGGGTCAGAGAGCGTAAAGGCAAATGGCGAAGGTTCTTTGGGAGCAGGCTGGGGGGAAGCGTGTGGAAGGTAGACGACGCCCTCGTTAGCCCCCGGCGAGTGCAAGAAATGAAGGTTACTCCCCTCGTGCCGTAATGGAGTTCTTCAAGGGGGTGTCCCGGTGGATAGTTCACATCCTGGCACCAAGACCAAATGTGGAGCATCCACGTGGGACCCCTCTCGAGGCAGAACTGGACAGCAAAGGGCCGTGGTTCCCGGAGTTGGGGAGGAAACCAGCCTCCATTCCTCTAGCGCAGGGGTGGGGAACCCTTTTTGGGTTGGGGGCTACTGACCCACAGAAAAGTCAGTCGGGAGCCGCACACAAGTGAGAAGCCAAAAAACAAACCCCCTCCCAACCCCTCACTGCTGTGGCCCCTGACTGAGAAGAAAGACCCTCCCACATTCCCCTCACACACCAGAGCCTAGTGGGACTGGGCTAGTAGACTGTGTGCGCGCCAGTCTCTCAGTAGGTGCATGGCCCCCAGTCCTAGGAGGGGAGCCCTGAGGCTTGGGGGCTGGATCCAGGCAAGCCAGGGGCCACATCCGGCCCCCGGGCCTGAGGTTCCCCACCCCTGCTCTGGAGTGACTAGCCAGGGAAAGGAGCAACACAAATAAAATCCTGATTTGCTGAGCTGCAGAGGGATTATTGGGGGATGGGTGGGTAGGGGGAGGCCCTGGCCCCTAAGGCCTGTTCTCCAGTTTGGCTGTGTACTGCGGAGGAGGGAGAACCCCGCACCTTTCGGGGCCACCGTCCTACGCTCCAACCGCTTGCTGGTCAGACAGCGACAAGACCCATGAATTTGTTCTCCTGCCGCATTTAAAAGTCCTCAGTCTGAGCGCTGTGAACATCTGAAATTCAAGCCGAGTGTGAAGACACCACCTCGGCCCTGGACTTGCCGTGCTTTGTGGCTGTGTTCCTGTCGAAAGCCCCGCTGCAACAAACCCTCCCTCGGTTTAGTTTGGGGTTCAGCTGTTCTATCCCCAGACTGGCCAGGAGCGGCTCAGTAATTCCAGTACGCTGATCCAGGACACGGCCAGGAAAGGGTGATATTGAGGCCGGGAGCAGCTCAGTAAATCCAGTACACTGATCCAGGACACGGCCAGGAAAGGGTGATATTGGGGTTAGGGATGTTAAATGGCATTTAATCAGCTAATCGACTAGTCGACGGAATTTCCATCGTCTAGTCGATTAGTTGATGGGGGAACTGCAGAGCCGCAGCGCGGTTAGCGCCCAGTGCTGGGATCTATCCTCTCTGCGGCTCTGCTTTTTACAAGGCTGAAGCGCAGTGGGGATGGGGGAACCTCAGGCCCGGGGGCCGGATGTGGCCCCTGGCTTGCCTGGATCCGGCCCCCGAGGATCAGGGCTCCCCTCCTCGGACTGAGGGGTGTGCGCCTACTGAGGGACTGGAGCACACTGGTGGTTTCCAGCCTTGAAAGTAAATGTGAAAGTTGCCTGGTCGTGTAACCGTCCTCAAAGAAGCAAACGTGGCTGAAGATTTTCCAAGTTCTGAACCTTTAAGTCGATACTTTGTTCCTGCACAGTACAGCGGTTTTGTCCTTCCTTTTTCCGACACTTGGAACTCAGACGTTCCTGCGTCAGCTGTTCTCTCTCCAAATGTGCAGAAACCCCAAAGAGCACCAGTATAACAGGAAAATTAAATGTAGAAACTTGCATGAACGCACCTTGAAGGTTGAAGAGCTAAGCTCAGCGCTCCCGTCAGAAATTCCCCAATGGAACAGGTTTCTCCTGCTTTGTTCGCTCAGCCCTGTTGCCTGGGTGAAGTATTGTCTAATGTTGGTAACTTAATTTGCATTTGTTGCATGATCGTCTAAGCAAAGAACGATGCACATGACGGTTCCCATTGAGTAATGGAGAGAGGACTAGCCGGTGCGTCATGCATGAAACAAGGCTGGTTAACGTGGCAGGAGACATTGTTATCCTCCGGGGGTTTTCTGAGTACACAGCTTTCTAGCCTGCGTGTCACGTGAATGTTTGTGTTTGCAGTTCGTTCCTCCCTCCCTCTCCTTGTTCACATGGGACTGTGCTGCTTCATTATGTGATGTCTGCAAAATGCTTAAAGATCCTCTTGTGAAAGGGCATTTATAGGTGTGCGCCGTATTGCTGCTCTTCGCCGCCTGCGCCCTTTGTAGGACACCAGCCCGGCCTCCTTCCCTGATTGCCCCAGGCCCTGCCGGAGCTATTAAACCTTCTGTGAAATGAGCCTTGCACAATGGCCAGGAATATTTAGCAGGCCTGAGTAATAAAACCAGCCTTGTACTTGCACCTTAGAGGGGTGTCTCCCCCTTCACACCCAAGGAGGAAGGGCGAGTACGTCTTTTCCCTCAGCCCTAAGATGGCCGTTCATTTGTACCCTCCAGCAGCAGGGTGCACAGGGCGGGGGACAGAGGTGGTATGGACGGAGCAAGGCGCCAAGAAACACGACTTGGTGTTTGGGCTTCGTTAGGTGCAGCCTCTCGTATTGCTCCCCAGTCACCTGGCTCCTTTCCTTCCCTCCCGCCCCGCAGCGCCAAGACAAAACCTCCTCCAACCTGCACGAGGCCGCCTCGGACTGCGTGTGCTCGGCGCTCTACGCCATTGAAAACGTGGAGACCAACCTGCCCCTGGCGCTGCAGCTCTTCCAGGGGGTCCTGACGCTGGAGGCTGCCTACCACATGGCGGGGGCCCGGGGGGGTTTAGACAAGTAAG